ATAAAAGAAAGACATTGTTATGTTTATATAAATAAATCTAGTTTACGTATGTTAACGGATTATGCCATTAAGAAATTAAATTAGATTCNCTAATACTTTCAATTAAAGCAGTAAATTTATTATCTATATATGATAAACAATTAATTGTTTGGATGCAGAAAATAACAAGAGCTGTTACATAACGCTAGGACTAGAAAATTATAAATTCAGCTCATTTTTAGCAGACTTTTATCGTTAAAATTGTATTAATGTTTGTTTCAATTGTAGTTTTCCACGAAGATTTGATGAAAACAGTTATTTCTTACATCCATGGCATTGCAAATTTAAAATATACATAATCCATAACACATGCACAAAATATAACAAGTTAAATTTGTGTTGAAGGCCGTTAATATTGTAGCATGGTATGCATAAGGTAATCCCAAAAGGAACATTAATTGTAAACATTGTTGTAGTACTGTAACTGATCCTTCAATGCGATAAACTTCAAATATCCAATAAATTTGCCATAACCGACCATTACTAAAACAACAATTATAATAAAATATAATTTCAGTTACTTTTTTACGGAGAGAATATTCACAATTACAATTAAAAATACAGAATAAAAGAAATACATTTTTATGTTCATATAAATATAGTTTACTTATGTTAACGGATTATGCCATTAAGAAATTAAATTAGATTCTGGACTTTTTGTAAATGTGACAATTAAATTTTGGCCTTAACGAAGTTCTAATAAATATTTTAATTAACAGTTGTTATAAGCTAGTTACATAGGAGGGTTGGGAAGGGGTTAATAAGTACTTATATCTTTAGTTATATTAAAAACGTGTATTTCTCACTAGAAAAAATCCTTGTACATACATTTTCGTTTGCGACTGTATGATATCAGGGAAAAATGGATAGGGAGGGCAATGTACGTTGTGTTGGGAAATCGCATAGGAGGGTTGGGAAGGGGTTAATAAGTACTTATATCTTTAGTTATATTAAAAACGTGTATTACTCACTAGAAACAATCCTTGTACATACATTTTCGTTTGCGACTGTATGATATCAGGGAAAAATGGATAGGGAGGGCAATGTACGTTGTGTTGGGAAATCGCATAAATCGAAAGTAGTTTTCAATTTTCCACAAACAACAAGAAGAGGAGAAATAAGGATAAGCGCTAGTGCTTTCTAAGAGGGTGGGCCATATCCTACAGGAATCGATCGTGAATCTCGCTCGACTTGCGTAATGGTTACCATGGAAAGTGTTGGCCCAGGTCATGAGGGGTCAAACCCGGTCCTTCCGCAAGCATGTTTCTCTTGCCCCACCAATGTTTTGATTTTGTTTAGGGGTTACCTGACATAGTAGTTCGGAGTTCAACGAACCACTAAATTCACTCCGATGTCCAAAATAGAGCCGATCACGTCAAAAGCCACAAACAGAATTATAAATATTACGAGCCCTTACAGCTATTAAACTATTGTAATGCAGACTAAACCAATCAAATTATACGTACGAATTTTTATCATTGGTATGATATAATGATTCACTAATAATAAAATTACAAGCACAAGTAGTTACCAAACTACAATTAGCAATATATTTATTTTCTCATTAGAATTTATAAATCTTAATTTAATTGTAAGATAAAGTAACTGAAAGATGTCACCCCCTGCTTAACTACATCTAATGTCTGGTTATCTTCAAAAGTAATCTGTAAATTAATATTTAAAAGTTCCATAATTCTTGGTAGTTTTGTGCTATTGGATAACTTATTTCTAGACATTTAGAACGAAAAGAAGTTCACAATATATTAATAATGGGTTAGCATAGAAACTGAACTTTTTTTTATTTGGTTAATTTAACAAAATCACCCATTGTCGTCAATTAAGGGTGACCAAATTTAATGTGGAAAGTTGTCTGATACTGAGAAAATTATCTTCATAAAAATTATATTCTATTTTTATATGATCTTGTACTTTATTTATTGAAATTACATCTGAATATTACTCGAGTTTTTCGGAGTCCTAAATATTTCGTATGTTGATTGCTGTAAAAGTGATAAGTAGCTGTTTTGAATATAGGTCGAGCTAAAAAATAAAAAGGGCTAAGAATAGAGGTTAAGTTTTAAATTGGTGTTAGAACAATGTGTAACCCAAAAAGCTCTGCAATTGAGTAACGCCGACCCCGGATTTTAGGCGAGTATCCCGGACTATTCCGGGTTGAATGTGCCTCGTTGCACAAGTTCGTTGAACCTTATCGATCCTATGCAATTTCACTTTTATTTTATTTTGACAGTCATAAACGAATTCGCTTTAAGTGGGGGTTTGTTTTAGGTCCTTATTTTTTTTCTATATAATGCTGAACAAATTCCATCAACTAAATCATCTTTCGTTTCTTTCTTACTTCGCTACTTCAATTGTAATTCCTTAAAACGAAACAAAAATGATTCACGTATGTTGTTGTTGACTTAATTACTTAAAGTGACACGTTTATAGTAAAAGAAACAAATAAAAAAACTTTAGGTAACTCAATCAATCCTTGTTTATAGCTGGTTATTTTTACTCAAACATTTTGAAAACTATTTATCAGATATTTTTAGCTTTGAAAAGTTCGTTTTAATTCTAATCCTTCCAATAATGTTTGCAGCCATAAAGTGGCTCAATAAAAGAATCAGCTGTCGTGTTAATCCATACAGTTTTGTTAAGACAAAGATTGGGCTTCCGGGTGAGGGTCGCATTAATAGTTGGTGAAGTGCCAACATTTTCAAAGACAATGCAGTCCTCTTCTTCAAAGGGAAAATAGACAAAAAGGAAAAAAGTACTAACGCGACCAGGGAATGGAATTTTTTATTATTTTTAAAAAAATCAGACCGACGTTTCGTATTCTGCTTTTAGGCCTTTTTCAAGGTAGATTAATCTGATCGATTAAATATGATACTCGGTAGTACGGAATTGTGATGTAGTGAAGTGTATCAATTACTTAACTCTGTTGTATAAATAAATTATTAGAACGAACACTGCATAAAGATATCATTTTTAAAAAAAAAATATAAAATCATAAATAAAATAAATAATAAACCATTAAAAATCACTTGATAACATTTAAAACTGACTTAAGAATAATGACCACTAATCAGTGGTGTGCTCCAAAAAAGTGCAGTGTATTCTTTATAAATGTGACGAAATGTATATCTATGGGTAGATCAAAGTGGATAATCATTGAAAACTAAATTAAAAGAACATGTCTAAGTACTGTATAGCTGAGCATAGCATACTGAATAGCCACCAGTTACGTACAGAAAATACGAAATTAATTAATAATCGGCTTGATGATTCTAGATATAATGAATGAATTCAACTTCANTTGATTTCCAAAATACCATTTTTATAATTTATGGCGTTTTTGAATATTGATATGAAACTAATAGAGTGAAATCGAATAAGATTTACTTTTTTAAACATTTAATTATTAAAAATTTGTAATAATTTTTAACACAAAACATTGAATGCAATTGTAGCTTTTGTATACCTTCGTATGTTAAATAAAAAAGTTTTGTTGTTAAACGTTTTTCAAGATATTTTAGGATTTTGCACGTTTATAAACAATGTGAATATTTAATAACAAGTGAAAATATAGACAGACACCGATTTGCCAAAAAAAAATAAATAAAATATGCTTAGAGAAACGGTTTACTTCTATTAAAACCTTCACGGACACCCTAAGCAGTTCAAGGCATGTGACTGTTTCATTGAAAGCAAAATTTAAACTAATTATTTGAAAACCTACCTAGCTAGTCACACATGCACAGGAATGTGACAATGGCTTCAACCCTTTAAAACCCTATAATACAATTTCCTTCTGCTCGTGTAATAAAAAATAGGATAGAATACCTAATTGTCATTTATTCTTCTCATTTTTATATTAGCAAGAGCTTTATCAACATTAAATTTTAATTTGCGGCTTTTAAAATGTTAAATAGTACAACTGAACAAACATTTTAGCGAAATGTAGAAATATTGTGCACAATACGATTTCGTATTACTTGATTAATAAGAAATAGGACAGCAATCCGCATTTATATTTATAATAACAACAGGATTAGTATGATATCGTCATGCAAAGCTGGAGAATAGGGCAGATGACGCGCTTCAAGGTTCGTGGAAATGAGTAGGTGGTAGTTGAAACTAAAGAGAATTATTGTCTGTAGAATATCTAGAAAATCCAAAGAAAAACTTGGAGCAGTGCAGTGGATGGTAAACATTTAACCAAATCTCTATAAGTTTGCCTAATTTTTTTTTGTGTTTATTTTAAAACGTNCCATTTATTACATTTATATTTATAATAACAACAGGATTAGTACGATATCGTCATGCAAAGCTGGAGAATAGGGCAGAAGACGCGCTTTAAACTTCTTACAAGGATAGTGAAAATGATGAAAGAAAAACTTGAACCAGTGCAGTTGGATAGTATACATTGAACTTAATCTCTATCCGTTTGTCTAAATTTTTTTTGTATTCATTTTGAAACGAGAAGTTTTTTTGTACTAGTAGTAAGTTGAAAGTTTTTGGTGTTTTGCTCTATTTGGTTGCTGATGGTGTTAGTATCATGTTTATTAATTTGTAACATCTCAAATAGGTGGAGAAATTTACGTTTAGGTGTTTTTTTTTAGAAATTGTTTGAAAGTTAGGCAATTTTCCGAAATTCGTTCAGATTTCTACATTTATCTATAGCGTAACGATGCTCTTTAAAACTTGTTCTTATAGATCCTTCTGATTGGCCGACGTATTATTTATTAGTTGCTGATTTCTCTATTGAAAGCCTATCGGGACTACCTTAATTGAAATCTTATCAGCGTCGTTGTGCACATGGGCAAAAATGTGAGCCTGCATTTGGCCGTTGCATCGGCGACTGCACTTTCGGGTATGCAGGCGGCGCACGCCAGAATGTGTTGTTCTAGGTCGGCGTCGACACGGCGTCGTCAGCGCTAACGGCGACGACGTCGTGCTCGTGCAGTTGCATTTTCCGACGCGTTTTCCACCGATGCGATGCACCGACAAGAGCAACAGCGACGGCAGCGGCATCGGTCGCGACGATAGCTTTAGCGGCCTGCTGCGACGCTCGACGGTCGCGGACAAAAGCTCGTCGAACGTTCGGTCGCGAGCTTTCGACCGAGTTCGCACACAACCGAGCCGCGAACGTCATCAAACTGCATCTCGCGCGCGCTTTTATGAATTATCCGCTGCGCTCAACAATCAAATTCGACTGTTTTTTTGGTGGGTGATAATCCATTTTCATTTTTTACTTTTTCGAAACGTTTTTGTCAAGCACTGTGTTGGTTCGGTGTGAATGGCAAAAGTTTTGTGGTTTTGGACAGCTTTTTAAATTCAAATTGAAGCTTACGTCGATTACAGTACGTAAAATGTATAATATATAAAAAATGTAGGAATGCAGTATTTATGAATTGTGCTTTGTTTTTCTTTAACTGCTTCTTTGTTTGCAAAGTGCTTTAACTGTGTATAAGATTTTCTTCAGGAAGAGCAATATTTCATTCAATAGGTTCATCTAGTAGTTGAAAAGCTGAATATATTTAAACCTACCAATACTAAATCGCGCTATATATAGCTATTTTATTAACAATAAATCACAAAATGATTAATTAAATATAACAGTTAAGTCAATTCATTTTACTCTAAATACAAGTCAAAATTTCATATGGAGTTCAAGAATTTTAAGTCAAATTTCATATGGATTTCAAGAATTTTCTCGCGTACGAACCCCCATAAAACGTATGAAGAATATTACAAGTTATAAGCTACTATAACAAAATTAATATAATTGACACATATGCATGCAAATTTAGGTATAAAAATACAACAGGATTCGAGTTCTTAAAAATTTAGAAAAAAATCCTTTTTAACGTAAAAAAGCATTACTTTCAATGACTTTAAGACAGTAAGGTCGTTACTACTTTTTTTTTTAAACTTCTACTTTTTATGTATGCTGATTATAATTTAAGTGACGTATATGTGCATCTTTTTGATAAAATATTAAAAATATTTGACATTTCAATTTAAAAATCTAGAAATGATAACGAAACCGCTATTGATTGGTCTATTTTTAGCCAGCTACTAAAACAATTTCACTATCGAATGCAAAGTATTAGTTGATATTTGTGTAAAAAGAACAGCAGCAAAGATCGCTTACCTTTGATTAATATTTAAAATTGAGAAATTATTTCGTACATGGGCATGCTTAAAATCACGCTAAACTGCAAGGGGTTGATATAACTTTCCTTCAAAAGTGAAAATTCAAAATGGCGACCGTAGTGTTTCCGTTACCGCTACGAATGATCTCTGCGTCTCTAGAAAGCAGCTTATTTACGAATAATATTGCAAAAAATGGTAAGTCTGCCCTCAGATTTTTGAATACTTTTTTCTATTATCGTAAATTACCCCTGAAATATTGTTGAAAATTGAAAGCCTTGTACCACGCGTGTATTCAACTTTGACCTTTAAAATTTTCAGGAGCAATTTTTTCGATAAAATTCGTTATGGTTTTTAATCAGTAGCAAAAATAATAGAATGTTCAACATCGACATATTTATAGATTGAAAATCTACATTTTCTGTCGCTATGCATATTCTTATGGTAGTATTTCATTAGATTTATTTTCAAGTGCATCCCAAGGTTAAATGACTAGAAACATTTTGCACTGAATATGCATTTATTTTGAGCTTCAGCTAACAACAGTTAATTTTGCAGTAACTGCATTGTCGAAAAGATGCCTTACATAAAAAATTTTGGCCCTGGGCCATTAATATTTATATATTTTTTTATTTGAACTTTGAC